TCAGGCACAACCGGCCCTCGGATGCCAGTGAGTGGAAGTGGAAAATGGACCTGGGGTAGGTGTAGCGCAGTCAAACTCACAATCAGAGTCTATGATAGTCTCTAATTCTGAGCCCGGCTTAGTAGAAGTAGTAGAAGTAGTAGAAGGAGGATTTTGACAAAAGGCATCAGAACCGCTATCATCCGAAGTCTCAGCATCAAAGAGCCAGGTACGTAAATGGCTTGGGCTGCCTGGAACAGGAGGGATATGTCGCCCAGCTTCAAGGCCAGAAGCAGAGCGTAGAGTTGGAGGCATTAGAGAAATATGAAGTGGACTCAGGTGAACTTGTGATGTATCATGCTAACCTATCGGCTCTATTGACTCCTATTTATGTTCATGAATCGTATACGTACTCATGAGATATCACTCGCCAGTTTGAAACTACACACCATCACAATGTTTTTTTTGCGGTAATATTCGGATACTCAAGACAATTTTTACTCTCATGATTCTCATCAAGATCTAATGGATATAGGCATGATCGTTTTACTACTTCAATCAACTATTCACTAGTGTGGATTTAAGCGAGAATCCCAACATCTGTTGGTACTCCGCAAATCAGCATCCAATCCTTGTTGTGCATGACCTTGGGTTGGAACACACACTTTTTCAAGTGTTCCAAAATTACCTTCACAACAGAGCATGACCACCCCTGCTCTGTACCATGAATTCATGATCCTACCTTGTAACGTTGTGGTGCAATTCAAGGCAATTAGATAATGGGATGTAGTTAGTATGAGACGTATTTGGAGTGGCTTCGACATCCCTGCTTAGTGCAGAATGTCTCAGCGGCGGAAGGGATAGCTTCTCCTCAACTGCCTTTTTCTTCTTCTCAAGCTATCCTTACGCATGTGTTTTTCATCTTTCCTTCCTCCAATTTGTCTTCCTCCTTTTTGATCTCATACCTCACCTCCTTGCAAACCAATGATACCACTTTCTCTGGCCCAGTTTGGCTTGCCGTCGATTGAGTTGTTCCTCGGTTCAAAATGCGTTTTGGAGCTGTTACCCGGGCCGGTTAAGAAATTTACTTAACGTGCCCTTGAGAATGTGTTAACCTATTAACTTAATTCTGTAACTCGCTGTATCTACCCAAAACCTGTTTTAAATCGACGAACGACTCAATCGGCGGCCAGTCAAACTGGGCCTTAGTCATCCTACCTTTGGCCCTCTACCATTCTGGACCACGAGACTTGACTATTGCATATTCCGATACACCAGAGAAAGGTATGTATTTTCTAATTACTACTGAACATAGCAATCTGGTAAAGATTACTGATTTATATAATGATATAGATATGGACTAATAGCTATAAGGGCGAGCGGATCTGGATTTTTATATGCCGGATTAAATATTGAAAAAGTTGGCCGCACTAGTGGTAGTAGCCATGGCTAGGTCGGTAAGATTGTGATCCAGTCGTGGGATGGTAGAAAGGAGACTAGGGAAATCGCTGTCTTTCCTACACGGGGGATTGCTTTTGGAGAGAGGAGGATTCTGGAGGATGGGTTCTTGCTCGTTTGAATACAGTGTTCCCAAGTATCCTGGGGCTGCCAAGAGTTCTGGAGGGGACGGGATGACCATGTGCAGTCCATCCGGGGCGGTGAACATGGAGGACGGCTGTCTTTAGGTAGGGCGGCGGGCCCTACAGGGTGGTAGGGGGGATGACGGGAGGGACTTCCGGGGACGTCTGGGGACGGCGGGGACTGTAGGGGATGGTGGGGGACAACATATTATACCACAAACAACCTCAGAAATGGTTGGAACATTGTGGCTGACAAGCTCCTTTTGTTCCTGTTCGTTGTTTGACTCTTAAGCTTGGAATGTGTGTTATAAGTAGTGTTGCCACGAACACTATAAAAATTGAAGAAATTGGCTTGGCTTGTGTCCTGTGTTGTCCACTTTCTCTCTAGGGTCAACAATCCTTTTTTTTTCTGCCTCTGGGCCGGATAGGGGTCCTGTTATTACTGCGTTCTTTTTTTCTGTCTCCCGAGGGAAAGGGGATCCGTTTTTTACTGTGTTTTTGCTCTTTTGCTGGTCTCGATTCTGTGGTTGAAATATGATTATAGGGGATTCAGGAGGGGATTTTGTGCATAGTTATTAGTCCGGGTTTGGCATTGAGGTGAAAATAGTTCCGTATGTTGTCAACTGTCAACGCACTGGTTGCCGGCTACCGGTATCTCAGATGGAGCTACCGTGTGAGGAATGTTGGTAATTGATTGTTAGTGGTGACTAACTCTATTCGAGATGCCATGACAGTTTCTCTTGGAGTGACTACGAGTATTCTGATACTAATCTTCTGGGATTTGACTTCTTATCACAGTCGCAGATAGTTTCCCCGCGGTAAGCTTCCCTCCTTCCTTCTCGCATCACAACAACCAAAATGACTACCCCCGTCAGCCCCCTCCTAACAACCCTCCTCTCAATCTGCACCCACGACCTGCGCATCCTACACCTAAGCGAATCCATAACAGCCGCATTCCCACCCGACCTGACACGCTCCTCTGACGTCTCCGATTCGCTCTCCCCTACGACGCCCGCCCCCGCAGCCCTACAAGCGGACCTAAGCCACTACAAGGAGCTTTTCTCGAAACTGCGCTTTAGCTACCTGGAGCAGGTGACCAAGGAGAAGTTCCTGCGTGCAATCACCGAAGATGCCCCGTTGGTGGTTGAGGCGGGTGAGAATGAGGAGCTGGAGGCAAGGCTTGCAATAGCAAAGGGGGAGCTGCGGAGGAGTAAGCGTGAGGTGGAGGGTATATTGGCAGAGTTGGAGGGGTTGAGTCGGAGGCTTTCTGATGGTTCATTGCCCCCTCTCTTCCCCTCTCTTTTGTTTTGTTTCGCGGTTGGCTAATGAGAATGGCAGATCATAAGATTGTATTAGACTACATTTCCAAAGCCACCACTCTCCCATCACAAACTGCAGAAATGGAAGTCGAAATCGCGAATCTCGAGATGGAGCAAAATTCTGCCACCTCTCCATCCTCCTCACTACCTAGACTCCCATTATCAGACACGCTAACCCTCCTCTCCGCGAACGAGGCTGAGCTAGCAAGGCTTCAGAAGGAACTTGCCGAAGCAGACCTGGCGTTACCAAAGAAGCGGGCGCGCCTAGAAGCGCTGGAGAGTGAGATCGGACCGATGGAGATGGATAAGGAGGGGCTGGAAAAGTTTGCTTCCGAGGCGGTTCGGATGAGGGATTCTGCGAGGGCTGAAGGGAAGGTCGATAGGGAGAGCATGGGGAGGTGGTATAAAGCTGTGTTTGATGGGTTGGAGGGGGTCTTGGTGGACCGGTAGGATATATTGTGCTATTGTTATCACTCCCCTTCGAATCGCTGGATCTTATGGAGTTTTGGCTGTGAGGGCTGGGGAAGTGGCTTATTGGCATAGAACCCGTGGGCTTTAATCGAACCGCTTGGACAGGTGGCATTACCAATATTATTCCTCTCTCTGGGTATAAGGTGCTCTTATATAGCGGATAGTAGCTTCCATCAGTTCAAGTCAACGAATTGTTGGTCCTATTCCTCGAAATTGCAAACGCCAGTTATTCACTTGTCGCCGCACAAGTTAGTACAAAAGTCTCTGTTGGATACAGGTCCGGACTTGGCCCCATGCTGGCTAAACCGGCTTTGATGCGCATGTGCTTGTAGCCAACTATACCAAGGAGTGACGATGGCAGAATCTTTGGACCGCCACAGTATATGGGTTGTGATAAACTAGGTAGTCTAAGTATGTGTAAGTCAACAAGGTGCAAGGACCCGTGCAAGGAACCTGTTGAGTGCTTGATCACGAGCCTTAGCTCGGCTACCGGTATTCTGTGTATCGTAGTGTAAGTTGATTAACTTGGTCATGGCGAGATCTCGTGGGAAGCGACACCCGGCTTCTGTTACTCTGGGCGTGGTTGTGGTATTTACTGTAGAAGGCGATAACTTATTGGTCCAATACGTGATTTTCCTTCCTAGCAAAAAAGAGTTTGATCGGTTGTTGGCTGTAAGCAACAAGTGCACGGACCAAGTGTTCAACCCTTTGAGCCTTGTGCATTTTCGTGGGGGCCCCCGACACACGCGATATTATATTCTATTATAGTTCGTTCCTACCGTCAGCCGTATTTACACTTTCCCTCCGCCAACTCCCTTTCACTCCTCTCTCCCCCCCCCTTTCACTCTCGCCGTATCACCACCCCCGGTACATAATTTGTCAGAGTCTATATCGTGCTTCTGTCTGATCTTCCCATAATCTCCTATTTTCCTCATCGCCTCTCTGTACTCCATTGCCCCCTCTCACTCTTTGCATTTCATCAGGGACTGCCGATGTGATGTGTATTCTAGGTTAGAAGCAACTGTCATACCTCAGTTCACCCCCCCCCCCCCTCTCCCATCTCCGCTACCCGTTCAACAACGGTTCGACTTCTCTAGCCAATTTTTCTCCAAATGTCGAATCCGCAACCGTGGGCCAGATCATTTCGGCACGCACAGACGGGGCCTCAACCTTGGGGCAATCAGCCCGGCCAAGATGCGCAGAACAGTCTCGCTCGGTCATCCCGACTGGACGTTCCCAATGTTGTTCGGCCTCCTCCTCCTGCGCGACAGCCCCCCCCGGATCCATTCGTTCAGCAATCACACCCCCGAGCTATCACCGAGAAACCCCTACACATCGACCTGACCGATCCCAACACCCCACACTTCCAGCGCAGCCTCATCAATACCCCCAAGATGGACGGCGTTTTTAATATACCCCCAGTTACACCCACTACCTCCGAAGCCCCTGTCGTTGTGGAGCCCGTAAAGCCTTACGATGGCGCGCTGTGTTCTAGGTCTTCGGTACAGAATTCGCGAACGAGAAGACGGCTTAAATTCGCCCCTCAGGCATGTCCTCCCGCCTCACCGCAGTTTATCCAGCCCTCCAAGGTTTATCAGGGGGCCAAGAACGCTTTGACTCCTCCCGCGCTGAGTCGGGGGAATAGCAGCAGCAGACAAAAGCAGATTCAGCCTCAAGCATCGAAATCGGATTTTTCAAAACCCAACCCCCGTCGAGATAACAAGCCGAAACCCTACCTCCTGGAAGCACCACCCGGAGCGCTGATGTTTCCAAGCTCGAGTGAGTGAGATTCCGTGCTGCATGAGGGGGGGAGTTGGGATGCTGATAGCGGATTCTAGGATGCTCAGATTTTTTTCCATGGAGAGGAAACCACCCGGAAGATCATGTCACAGATGCTCAGGCTAGAAACGGGCAGTACGACAAACTGTATGCTGTGAAGGGAAATGTCGGTTTGACCAGTTCGAGCTCCCACCGCTATATAGTACTTACGGCTTTGCAGAACGAGCAAGCGTCGGCGCGGTCCTCTCTGGTGCCGTCACTTAAGGGAAAATCGGCGCTTCCGTCACTCTCCTCTCTATTCCTAACAGTCTTAGATAAGAGGCAAAAGTATAACAGGCTTACCACTCCACCTACCTTCAAGCCACCTCCTCGCGTCACACTTCCCGATATGAGGCGTGAAGCATGGCTGCGAGACCTGGCGAGTCCGTTGGTTCCACTACGTAGGCTGTCTAGGACAATACCTCACGGGTTGAAAGGACCGATACTCCTGGACCAATGCGCTGCGAAATCGATACCAACAGCACGCGCAGTATGGTTTGCTCGCTGTGTAGGCGCTAACGAATTGAGGGGTCTGAAGCGTAAGGGGGTCGGCTCGTTTGCCGTCGGAAGTGAGACCAAATGGCTCAAGGAGTGGACGAGCCAGGTAATGCGATTCCTGGAGAGGACGATTTCAGAATTCGGATCCCCTTCGGATCTGTGGAAACAAAAGATGGTCTATGCGTAGGTTTATCGTCCCCGACAACCGGTGGAAGCGCACTTTCTTCGGCTCACATCTTGCTTTTAGGGTTCGGCTTTCTGCCCATTTGTTTGGGGAGAACTTGCTTGATAGAACCTTGTTTCTGGAGTGGTATCTTTCGTACCTGGAAACATGTTCATTGGATATGTTGCCAATAGCCTATCTGTTGTTAAGCATTTATTGGGATGAACTACTAAAGACTAGGAGGTTGGGACGGCGACTTGCAGAAGCCCTGTTGGGGAGAGCCGAGACTGTAGGTTCCCTTGGGATTTCGGGATAAGTTAGGATTTACCGCTGAATGTTTTGTATAGATATTGGCAGCGGAGGACAGAGAAACATATGCCCCGCTTATGCAAAAATTGTCGGTTTTATTGACGGTAAGGCACCGTCTGATGAATCGTGCTTGGCGTCTCTACTCTCTTACACTCGTTTTTTCAACAGGAAATTCTGTTTTCGCACAGGGAGTCCCTGATTGTCTCGAACAGCTGGGAATCATACCAGTCTATATTGGAGGCCTGCGTTGACAGGAGGTGCTCAGTTGTGAGATCGTGCTTGCAAAACATATCTCAGAGGAACAAGAACCTACTATCTCCAATGCAGGCGAGACAAAACGCCTCTGTCTCATCTGGCCAGAGAAAACTAATAAACATGCTGGACTCAATAGCAATGCCCTACAACGTCGATGAGATATGGGAGAAATGCTGTTCGTTGGAGGTTGAGGAGGGCCATCTAGTCCGTTGCCTTTGTCAGTGGGCCACCACCTCGCTTCGAGTTGGCAAACATAGGATATATATTGTTGCGGGGCTCTTGGGGTGTGCTAGGCAGAGTGGCATAAGTGTTCAGGACCATTTGATAGGCTTCTTGGAAGGGTTTGGAAGTAACGTCAAGGGAAGCAAGGATGATGTATATCTTCTTGTCTCGGAACTTGTTCGTTCCAGAGCCTTCTCTGTTGCTTTATATATGAAATGGCTTATTTCGCGAGGTGTCCTGGCAGAGTGCACGATTGCTCAGGTATGCGTCTAGCCCCCTCCCCCCTTGAAACCGTGCCCCGTGATTGACGTCTATGTAGGAAAGCCCTTGCCATATCCGATTGCTTGCTGAAGTTTCAGTGACATCTGCACCAAACCATATCCGCAATTTACGTAGCATTCTGCTGTCGAATCATGGGTTCTCTGTCGAAGAGGAGGCGAGGTCATTAGAAGTTTCTAAACAGATCCTCTCCTCGAAAATGCCCGGAATTTTCTACGGCGATCCCCGTGCCGGCGGATCCGGGGAGAAATTCACGCATGAAGAGTTGGCATACTTTGGCGGGCTAAATCGGGCGGTCATGTATGAACTAGGGCTTTGGATCAGGGAGAACGTCCGGAAGCATGTTGTTAAGGGTGCACCGTAGGTTTTTATCGGGTCCCTGGGCGTTTGTGAGTGGGCTGACGGTGGGAATGGTTAGTGTTGGTCGGGATAACTGGAGAGATCTTTCGGTTGAAGTTGGTATAACCGCTGTCAGAACTGAGGAGTTTGTCATGATGCGGCAGTTACTCGAGATGTTTAAGGATTTTCAGATTTTGGCCGAGGTTTGTTTCTCTCCTTTTTCCTTTACGGTGCCATGTGCGCTTAATAGTGTGTTTAGGTTGTAAGAATGGTTACCAGCTCTGACAGCTCGGCTACCCTTTCGTCTGCCGCTGATACCGTGAGCTACAATGTCGAAGTGTTTAGCTCCCTGGGTGCTATTAAAGGTAACTTGCAGCTACTTTACGATAGGGTGAGTGTTTTAATGCCAAAACCGGATAAAACTTCCATAATGTTACGACTTTATTAACACACTCGGATCAAACAGTACAGAAAGCTGCAGGTCCGCCGAACATTGGAAAAGTACGTGCTAGTGTCATTGGTCGACCTAGCTTCATTTCCGGAAGCACAAGCAGACATTCGTCGAGAACTAGAAACCGAGCTGGCAAACTACGACAAACGCTTTCCTCGGGCATCGGTAGCATATTCCCCGGTATCGGAGAATATGGGCGACATGTTCGAGCATGGCACAGCTGATAGCAATGAGGAAATTGACCGACTTTTGCGGAATGGGGCTACTATCGACAAGCACAACCTATCAAGGCTTTTCGAGACCATAGTTTCAAGGATGGAGACCTCGTTTGATGACAGGGAGAGCGTGGGAGTATTGTCTTCTTCCGCAGCGTACTTGATTAAGCTAAGGCAGTTCGATCCTCTGGTTTTTGATGAGCTGATGTGTGGGTGGGTGACGAGACTGTTGCAATCTTCTAGCAGACCACCATTGCTGCAAACTCTATCTGTTCTTGTCGCTGGGTCCTGCTTGCAGCTTGATGTGATTGTTCAGGCGACATTGTCAGTCCTGAGGCCCCAAGCTAAGGCAAGACCTAATCCCCGGCAATGTTGTACGTTTATTGTCTAATAAGAGATAGATTTCGAATCCGGCTACTGGAGAGATTGCCGCCCAGACACTGGATATCCTCGTCAATGACGGTACGGATGGCTTGAGTCTTTCACCATTGGAACTGTATAGCTTGAAACGGAAGCGGAAGCTCTTTGCGTTGAAGTTTGTAGACAAGTTTGTCCAGTTGATACGTCAATCTATCCAGATCTGCGCTGTGGCATCCAATCCGGATACCAAGAACCGCGTAAGGGGGTTGATTCTATCGCCACCAGTTCTGGAGTTTCTCCGCGGCCTCGCAACAGCACAACCTGATACCCTTATTTCCGATATCGTGGAGCCCCTATCTAAAACTGGAGAAACGTCGCTGCTACAATGGCTTCGTGTACTAATAGACCATTTGTTGGACGATCAGGAGAACGGCGGTTTGTACCCGCTCTCTTTACCCCTCGAGTTAGCGGTAGTGGTAGCTTATATCGGCCCAGATAATACAGACCTAGACCCTGAAGTTCAGGTAGCTCATCTTATTCAGTATGCCAATGATTTCTCCATCGGGTTATGCCAATTGAAGATGCGGATTATATTTGATGCGGAGAACAAAAATACTTCGACCTTCAGGTCAAGCGGTGAGTATACCGGGGGTAGCGAAAACCCACTCATGAAACCCTTCTTTCAGGGAATCGCTTCCACGTTCAAGGACCGGGTTACCATATGGACCGACCTGGTCTCGGTGCTAAACCAGGAGTGTGCTTACCAGGTATTCCACGCACATGTTAAGTGGTTATGTTTTCCGATGCTAAAGTTACCGGTGCAGATTCGCGGGTATGCCGAGGAGTTGGTTCTAAATTCTCCCACCTTCCCACCGGTTCGGTTATGTCTAGGTCCGCTGGAACCATCACTCGCAGAGGGCCGTGAGAGCGGGGAGACGCTCGCCCGAGCTTTGCTTTCCGTGATTGAAGCCACTGCGTACAGCATTCCCAAACAAGGCATTGCCTCAATCGCTACGCTGCTGGTGGACAAGCTAAATATGATTATCCAATCCATCACCCTGCAGGAAGACGAATTGGAGAAGGCCGAACATGCCGCTGTTCCCGAGGTGTTTTGGAATGACTCCCTTACGGAGTCCAGGTGCTGGTATGTTCTTCTCTCTCGCAAGAAAGGCCGACGGCTGATTGTGATTAACCGGGTATTTCAATAGGCTCCTGTTATTCCTCCGTATGATTGTCTTACATCGTGCGGCATTTACCAGCTCGAAATCTGGAGCTTCGGATCAGGGCAGATTGGTCGTTGGACTGTGCACCCTCCTTCAGGTATTTACCCTCAATCGCTACTGTCGTTACCAGGGCCTTTGCTGATGGTGATATTCCCCAGCACGAATTCATTCAACAAGACGAAGACCTGTTCAATTTCGTCTTCGATGTAACCAGTAGCTTTATCGACGGTACTTTACCCCCCTCTCTTTTTTTTTCTCTATTTACAATAACCTACTAATACATACTTGATAGACCTAACAGAAGACACCCGCCTCCAAATCCGCCGCTTTGCAAAAGCCAAATGCCCAACAGCGCGAATGACATACTTGGTCGGCGGGGGAGAAGCCTCAGGCTCTATCCTGAAAGCCACCCAGCGCGGGAAATTGGTCGACTTCCCCGTCAAGCCGTGGGAACGCCTTGCTGAACCGTCACCCGTCATTGGGGAGAACGACACGAGCATTAGTCTTACCCTGTTTTGCACGAGGAAGATTAGGTGTGCAAGAGGCGATGGTGGTTGTTAGAAGCAAAAGAGGAGGAAGGAAAGGAGGGGATTGTATATGTTGGCGGGGGTTAGGGGTTTTTCATTTTTTTCTATTTCCTGGTTTTTTTCTGTTTCTTAAAGATTATGATGCTCTTTTATGATACTCCTTTTGGGTTTTTGGGCTTGTGTTGTATTATAGTTGGGCCTTTTTTTTCTTGCTCTCTGTGTTGGTTGGTGGGCATATTAGCGGGGGATTGATGGGCATTAGTTATCTTGTGGTATCATATTGGAACCCCAATACTCGGGGCTTATGATGGATGAGGCTTCAATGTACAATGCTGAAGAGTATCAATTTTTGTTTAGGTATGACGAAAGGGGCGATTGTAAATTGACTATAAAGACAAAATAAGAGAGCGACGATAGTGA